CGAATGTCTTGAAGGTTCTCGGGTCCGTCTTGATCCATGATAGCACGATACTGGAGTCTGTCCAAAACGTCTTCTTTTTTACTATTTTCAGATCCATTTCTTCCTCGACCGAGTGTGCCAATCTGCTTCCTAGGAGGGCCGCTTGCAGCTCGAGTCTCGGGATTGACACCGGCTTCAACGGAGCGACTCTTACTTTTGCTGCTACTAAGCTGACGTCATAAGTCCCATTTTGATTTTCAGTTCTCCAATATACCGTAGCTGCATACGCCATTTCGCTTGCATCCGTGAACGTGTGCAGCTTCCCCTCGGTGCGACGTGGTGCCAGACATCTCGGGATCTGAAGGTCTTGGAGCAGCTTCATCTTCTCCAGGTAAGTCTTCCATGACTCGTACTCCTTTTCTTCTATCTCTTCATCCCAACCGACGCCACTTCGCCATATGTTCTGGAGCAGCCTTTTGCCTTGGATGAGAATTGGTGATGCTAGCCCTAGTGGATCGAAGGTCGACATCACGGCGCTGGTGACTTCTCTCTTCGTAGGTACCTTGAGTCCTTGTGCCACTTCATCTGGCGTGTTCCGAAGGTTCGCCCTAAAGCCTATGGAGTCCCTTTCTGTAAACCAGCGTAGTCCCAGTGTCTTCTCTTCCTTCTCACCAAGGTCCACCTCTGTCTTCTCAACTGACTCAGTCTTCACGTTTTGCAGCAGGTCGGAGTGGTTTGACGCCCATCCTCGGAGTTCGAAGCCCGCCTTTTTGTGAATGAAGTCCACCTGCGCTGTAATTCTCTTGAAGTCCTCTTCTGAATGGAAGCTGTGCAGGTAGTCATCCATGTAATGGTTCAGCTCGATTGCCTTTGCTGCCTCTGGGTACTGCTTCTTGTAGTCCGCCGCGTTCCGGTTCTTCACGTAGATCGCTGTGCTAGGAGATGATGTCGCGCCGAAGATGACTGATGTCATTCTGTACTCCTTCGGTGCTACGTCACGACGATCCCCTCGCCACAGGAACTTCAAGCTGTTTCTATCTTCTGGCCGGATGCGAACTTGCAGGAACATTTCCTTTATGTCGGCTGCCACTGCAAACGGGCCTTGCCGGAACCTCAGTAATACCCCGAAGAGCGATTGCAGTAGGTCTGGTCCCGGTAGTAAAGCGTCGTTGAGGCTTCTCCCTTTAGACTTGGCTGCAGCGTCGAAGACGATCCTTATTTTCTTCTTCAATGGATGTACCACGGAGAAATGAGGGAGGTACCATGTATTCTTTGAATCTTCTTGTCCACCAGGTGCTTCTTCTGCATACTTGCTGTCGATTAGATGCTGGATCTGCTTATTGTATTCTGCCTTCAGCTGAGGGTCTTTGTCTATCTTCTTTTCAATGTTGAACAATCGGTTCTTGGCAGACGTGTAGCTTTCAGGCATCTGCTCATCTTCATTTTTCCATAGAAGTCCAGCTTCAAATCGACCATCTTCTAGTCTTCTGCAGGTCTTCTCTAGGATGGTGAGTGCTCTTTCTTCTGAATCCGTAGTGGGTCTTCTTGGTAGTACTCCAAGTGCTTCGATTGCGAAGTGATCCTTGATGGCTTGATGCATCTCTTCTTCTGGCGTGCTGACATGTAGACACGTGTTTAAGAAGTGCACCACTTTCGCGCCTCCAGTGTCTGACCCGTGGAGCACCCATCCAAGTCCTGTTCTTGAAGCGACTGGTTGTCCTGGTTTCCCTCTTCTTACTTCTTGAGTCACGATTAGCTCCCAGTTGTCTTGACCGATGAGCAGCTGTGGTGACTCCCCCTTATAATATAGAGAGTCAGCAATCTTCTTCAAGTGTTGACACTCTTCTATCCTTTTCTTTTCTAGGAACTGCGGTGCAAGCTTCAACTCTTCGATGGTCCGGACTCTTCTCAAGGTCTTCTTGGTCTTCTGATGAATCCCCTTCACCGTAAGGTCAAGCATCTGAGAGTCTTCCTTCCTTATCAGTCTGCCTCCAACAGTCTCGATGACCAGTTCCTCCTTTCTTTCTCCTCCTTGAGCGCCGATTTCTTCTGCTACCTTCTGGTCTAGCAGCGACACTGTTGACCCTTCATCCATGAGGGCCAATATCTTCTTTGATCCTTTTGACCCGAAGATTTCTATCGGAATTATCTTCAGGTATGCCCTTGCGTTGTTGACCGCATTCACCGATGCCATGATGCTCGCCACTTCTTGTGGTTTGTTCTTCTGTTCTTCCGAGGAACTTTTCTCTGTCTCGACGTGCAGCAGATGATGATGCCACCTCTTGCATTCCTTGCACGACGGCTTCTTGCAGCTCTCCTTCCGATGTGTCCCTTGTAAACACTTGAAGCAAACGCGGCTTTTCTTCACTATTGCCCATCGATCTTGCACAGACGCCTTCAGGAACTTCTGACACCCGACGAGGAAGTGTTCACCCTCACACATGGGGCAAGTCTTCTCTGATCTTGAAACCTTTTCTTTGAAGTCCTTTTCCTTAGTTGAATGCGTTGCTTGTCGATGAGTCCGTCTGAACCAGCTCTTCTCTTCTGTTGATGCATAGGCTCCACACTTGTCTGCTTCTCTGTTCAGGAACTTGGACACCAGTGTTAGGTCGGAGAACTCGCCTTCTTCTGTTGTTTCAATGAAGTCGTACCATCGGAACTTGAGGATCGTAGGCATCTTCTCAATAATTTGTTTCACCATCTCAGGTGAATGCAGGTACTGTGGTTTCTTCAATCCTTTTATTGCCGCTACGCTGTTGCTGATCTGGCTCGCGAAGAGGCATATGTCCCTTGGGTTTTCAGAAATCTTCGACAACGTTTTGACCTTGTCCAACTCTGCCAGCACCAGTGCATCTGGTCTTCCATATCTTCTTCTGAGGGCTTGAATCACTTCCATCGGAGAGGCTTCGGAGTACAGCAGACTCTTGATAGCTTCTCTTGCGTTGCCCTTCAGTGCTCTTCTTAGCCGAGCCATATTCTGGACGTTGTTGAACATCGGTGCTGTATCTTCATAGACAACCTTGAAGGCCATCCACTCGCTGCTGTTGCCGTCGAAGTAGGGTAACTCGTGAATGTAGGTTGGCTGTCCTGCTGGTCCTCGCGTGGTAAGAGCTTCCTTCAATGCTGCCGTCAGTGCTTGAATTTCAATCGTAGCTCCTCTCGTTGAGGAGTTCTCTTCAGGCTTCATCTTCTGTGGCTCTTCCAAGGGGTGTGGACCTCGCATCTCTGGTTGAACTTTGTTGCCATCCTCCAGCACAGACGTCTCGATCCAGTTCTGCACCTGTGCTGTTCTGTCTTCCAGGTCTTCATCCACGGAGTCCTCTTCTTCACACTGTGCCATCTCCAATCTGACACGGGCTAGCTTAGTTTCAGCCTGTGCTTGCTTCAACTCCAGGCGTGCCAACTCTTCCTTTGCTTCTAGCTCGCGTCTTCTGGCCGAGGAACTCGTGGTCTTCGTGGACCTGGCGCGACGACTGACCCCCATCGGTTTCAGGGTCTTGGAGGAGCCTTGAACATCCTTTCCAGGTACATCTTCTTGGCTCTTCCTGGTCATCCTCTGTGCAGCATCTTCTTTGTTGCCTTCCATAGACGCCGCCGTAGTTGCAGTCGTAACCGTAGTCTCCGTCACTGTGGTGCCCTCCGTGGTCGTGGTACCCGAAGAAGTGTTCGATGTAGTTGCAGTTCCCGATGACGCCGACGCTGACGTGACCCCTTCTGATCCCGACGTTCCATCTGTCGCGTCCCTATCTGAAGGACGGGACCCGGGACGTGAGGGGGCATCCTTCTGCGACCTGGTTACCGGCATCTTGAACGCAATCTTCTGTTTCTTCTGAACTTCTTCTAGCAGGGATCCGGCTCGAAGGACCAACTGTTTCGGACGACCAGAACCAGGGTATGTCTAGTACCCGGAGGTCGACCTGGGACAATCTCCCAGACGTTCTTGGCGTACACGGCAGTATGTCCGTTCGCTGGTAATGTACGCCACCACGCACCCCTGAATGCGTAGCTTGGGTCCCGATCCACTAGGGTTTCTTCGTTGACAGGAGACTATACTTAGAGGCGATGAAATAAAACACAATTTTTTCCTTTTTTCTCTCTTGGTTTCGGTTCTTCCTTTTCCTTTTAGTTGTTGCCTCTTCGGTGGCTGTCTTGCGACTGACTCGAATCGAGAAATGGCTCGCCTTTTATTTGGCCCGTTAATACCTTACAGAGAGCCGCGTACTTTGAGCTCATTTTTCGAATAAAATTTCCCTAAACCGAAACCTTGAGAGTCCTTTTATTTTATGTTTTCAGTAAAACACCTTACACATATTTATTTATTTACATGCCTTACATACTATTATACAATATTAAAACATAATATTCAATATATAATAATTAATTAAAAAAGTCTTAAAACAAAAATATCTAAATTTCTAGGTTGCTACATTTTTACTATACATTTTCCCTTATAACTTTTGAACGGATAGTCCTATCGACCTAATTCTTGTTTTATTATAAGTTTTATAATAAAATCTATTATTTAAAACATAAACTATTATGCTATTGCAAGAAACAAAAAATCTCATTTTCAAGTTACGTAATTATATGCTAACATTTTACTTACGTACCTATTCCTTTCAAATTAATGTTAAATAGTCTTATATGATTCAAATAAGCAAAAAATACTCTAAACTAACCTTATTACACTAATTAGAACTTATTTTAACATAATAAATCTAATAAGAATGAGATTTCATATTTACAACAATTATTCATAATACGCTAAAATGACATTGTCCCTATATTAATACACACGTTACTCGAAGATAAGTTTTCCGTCGCCGACATATATAATATAAATAAATCGTCATATAACATACAATCTTTATATATGTATAACATAAAGCCAAAGACTTTTTTTTATAAATTGAACGCGGGCGTAGTTCTGCCAGAATAAATATAGGAAAATATATTTTTAATCTCCGAATGTTTTCTTTTCTCGCAAAAACACATAATATATATTTAAATCTATCACTTACCAGCTTGCGTCCGCATGTCTCTCGACACGATAGCGCCGTGGGTGTTGTGAGCTCGACATCGGTACACGGTACTGTGTATGTCTTGGCGGTACTGCATCGAGGCAAACGGGAGGAACACTAGCGTGCCGTTGTCTAACACTTGCCTGTAAAGAAAATCGATCTATTATTATACAAATCAGCCAAAATATACTTTATTCAAACAGACTTTTACAAGCACTTTTGAATCTTCAATTATACATTTTAAATTAAATGTGAGTATGTAAGTCTACTACCGGCTCGGAAGTCGGTTCTGCTGAGAAGAGCCGGTGAGAAACTCAACTGTTGCTCTTTTTTTATATAATAATAATTTACAATATATCAATACAAGAATCGGAATATTATATTTTGCTCAGTAATAATACACAAGCAAATATTTCGAGCCATTTAATTAAATAAATTAATATGGTCTCCATTAAAAACAAATCTTTCATTTTAAAATTAATATGGAGGCATCTGAGTGAAGCGAGTGTAGGTCACTAGCTGTAACAGTAATAGTTCAAAGTTCAGATACGTTATTTGGTTTAGTGAAGTTCGAATTTCATCGCAGTTCTCTACATCGGGTATTTTTATTTCAAATATATTACCAAAGGCATAAAACGGAGTGCACACAAAAGTTATTCAATATTATTTTTATACGGTTATAAACTCGATCGAAGGGCTTTTATATGATTCTGCATAAACTAAGTTATTACAAATTCTGATATTTCTTTATTACCTCATGCTCTTTAGATGATTGTTACCTAATTTTTAATAAAGATATTATGTATACAATTACATATAATAAAAGCCTGAGTCGAATCTGTACATTGAATATTTTTTGGAAAATCTTATTGAAATAGTCATCACTATCAATAAAGAGGCTGAATCTATAACTTATAAAATTTTTGTCTGTCTGTCTAGAAACACATCACGAGAAAACCAGTGGACAGATTTTGATTATAGTTGGTTATTCGGGTTAACATAAAGGATACTTTTTACTGCGAGAAATAGTCTCATCTCTGAGAAATCTATACTAAGCCTTAAAACGTAGCGAGGGTGAGTAGCTGGTTTTATTATAAAAAAACGCTTTTTAAAATATGATGAAGAGAACCTGTATCTTTGAGAAAATCTAGCAAGTTGTCAAAAGACATGTGAAGTTTGCTAAATCGCACTTGCCAGCGTGGTGTGTTGAAAATGAATTATTATTATTGATATCATTAACTTATGTACATCTCATACTTTACTTACTTACGAGTGAATAATAACAGCGCACATTCTTAAAAAAAAGAGACATTTAAGTATAAATTTAATAAAACAAGATTCAATTGGATTATGTGTGAGCGTGCGTGCGCGCGTGTGTATGTGTGTATGCTTGTTCACGCTGAAATGATTGAACAGATTAGGATTGAACTTAGTGCACAGATAGGCTACCGTTTGGAAATTAGAGTCAGTGAATTATATATATTCTTATATAAACTTCTTTACACACAAATACTATGATTAAATTAAACACATCATATTATTAGCCATAATCATGGAAAAAAGCTGCGGTCCCAGATATAGCCTCTTCGCGTTTCATTTCCTGCGAGACTAAAAAAAGGAAAGCTAAAATTAAGGCAGTGCATATTGAAGCAAAAAGACCCCCGGGATCTCGTAATTGGCGCTCAGAATCCCGAACACCGGAGAATATTTTAAGCCGGTGCATATTTGAGTGGAATTGACGCAGCATCTCTGAGGATGGACCTTTGTAGCTGTTGTATGAAGTAGGTCCTTTTGTAGGTTACAGTTTTTGGGGCAATGGTTTTGTATATTGGACTGTTATAAATTTAAGTATACTAATTTAAAGTGTTTGTATGTTTGTTATTATTTTACGTTGAAATACTGCGCTGGACGGGTTTGGATGAAATTTTTGTTCACAGTTAGATTTTCTACTCCTGTACTCCAGTACCATATAGGCTACTATTGGTTCAAAAAATGGCCAAGAGATAATGCTGGCTGTATATCAGTCTAATATTATAAATGCGAAAGTTTGTGTATGTGTGTGTATATGTGTGTCAAACTTCAGTGGAACTACAATTTGATAAGACCAGTGATTGAAGCACGGGGGTGTAACTTTGCACCACCAGGCTGTTATTGGGAATTTCTTAACAAAATATCCAACATAACTATATCTTGACCTGACCCGAATCTTGAACCTAGGACTGTCAGATCAGCAGCTACATGGTAGACACTAAACCAATCAACAGAGAGAGAGAGAGAGAGAGAGAAAATAAACAAACGAATTTATAATATTAATAATAATTCGTATAGAAATTATTAATGTACGTCAGAGTAACTTTCTAATATAGTATAATATAAATCTTTCTAATATAGTACCTATATTATAGTATAATTAGTGTAATAGTATAGGATTTTTTTATAATTTTACTAAAACAACAGTATCCCAATCGAGTGCTTATTATCAGAAACATCGAGTGCGATTGAGGAAGCAATTTACATAAAACGATTACGAGAGACAGTCAAAGGAAATGAAGAATATTAAAGTGAAATTTTTTCTGATTGAAATTGATTTTGAATTAGTCTTGAGCGGAATGCGACGTATTTATTAGGATTCTGCCTCAGATGTTTGTAGGTTTGTTTATTGTATAGCAGGTTCGTTTCTCGTGCGAAGCAAATCGTGTACACACAATATTTTTTTTAAGTATGTTGTATGTTGAATAATAATTAGTGATTATGTTTATTGTTTTGGATATTCACCTTAGATATGTGAGTGATATAAGATTTAAAATAATATTTAAATATGGTGGAAGCTGCAAATCATAACATAAAAAAACGACATAAAAAAGGGTTCTGTACCATCGTACAAGATAACACTATGTACTAATCAATCAACTTTTATATGCATATCGGCCATTTTAAAACTCGCCATCTTGGTTTTTTATTATTTGCTGTTATAGCTGAAATATTAATACATAGTTTGTGAAAATTTCAACTCTATTCCTATTATGGTTCATGAGATATAGATAGAACAGCCCGCTGAGAAACAGACAGATGGACAGCTGTGGCTTAGTAACAGAGTCCCGTTGACACCCTTTGAGTACAGAACTCTAAAAAATGTAGATATAACTGAATAAAAGCTAGTAAAACTTCAAAATCATCGTCAAATACACTAACACTTTCATTTTACTATTTTTCAATCTTTCAAAAGACAAGACAAAAATCTTTCAAAAGATACATAATTCTAACAGACAGACAATATTACGGTAAGCTAGTATTTTTTATTTGTTCAGTAAGATAAAGCTTTATATAAGCTTTTTGTAACAATTTAGTACACATGTAAAACAATTTGTGGGGAATAAATTGGTTCGTGAATTAAAATTTCACAAGTCTGTACAGAATGTGGTAAAGACGTATACAAAAATTACGTGATCCTATTAAGGTCCGGAATTTATTTTATAAAGAAGTTGCTCTTATTGAGAGCAACTTAAGCTTTCGCCTTTTTCATCATTTCCTACATATTATCTGGCTCATTAATAATATTATATAAACTAATATTATAATATTAGAGGCAGAGTTTGTTTGTCTATCTGTTTGTTGTTTGTTTGTTTGTTTGAACGTGCTAGAAGAGTAGGCAATAATATATAAATAATTTCACAAGCAGAGCCGCGTGCTAAACTTAGTTATAATAATATTTAATATTAGATTGCATACAATAAAGCTCTACACTCTATAATTACAGGAGTCATACCATAGTCACCAAAAAATCAAGACAGTTAAATTCATAACATGACGTCAAAATTTCAAAACACGCAAAATTAGGTTTCTATATAAAATATAATTATATCTTGATACTACCAGATTTAATCTGTTAGTCCGCCGGTTCTAGTTTCGCTCGTTAAAATCCTTTACGTTCTAGTATAAACACAGTTTCGAGGGCATTTCTCTGTATTTTGTAATTTTTTTTACATGACGTTTCAACGAGATCTTTTAACTCGCTCCGGTCTCGTTAATTAGCGCACGTTTACGAAACTGCTACGTAAAAAGTTTTTTTTTTATATTTTAAAATATACGTATTTACTTACAGCTCTAGTTCTGAATAAAACTGTAACGAACTCCCCAAAAATGTGTTTATTTTTAGGTTAATATACTAGCGAGTGGTTCGAAAAATTATTATTTTTTTACATATATATAATATATAAATTATAAACTATAAAGTTTAAAACTACGATTGTAGAATGAGAATGACATTTGGTCATGATATTTAAACAAAAAAAAATAGATTGAAATGACATATTATTATGATTCCATGACATAACTATTAAAAACTTTTTAACAAAAAATAAAAACCGACTTCCAGGCACTAAAATGTAAAAAATAACTAAACGGAGGTTTTCATTTAGAATAGATACCGAATCAGATATTTTCGAAGTCGGTGTCAGCCTATGCAAAGCAAATCTAATATATTTCGATAAATAAAATATATATTAACCTATTAGATGTTCATATCTTAAAATTATTATAAGCTACTCATCACATAAATTAATGCCCAGCGGGACTCGAACCCGCAACCGCTGGCACAGCAAGTAGGGTCACTACAAACTGAGCCAAACGTGTTTTTAAGAGTGTATACAGCAAAATCAAAATAGATAAAGAAAAAGAAAGATAAGAAGTCATGCAGATATTTTTACAATGTTCCTAACAGCATCACGTAGGTACGTGATAAATTTTAAACGTAAAAGAGAACTGTTGAAAAATTCAGTTTGTAAACTGCTTAAGTTCTACCTTCATACAACACGCTCTGAAGAAAAATAATTTAACTTCATCTAAGAAAATCTTTATATTGTTATTTTTTTAACTAAATAGACATGACGAAAGGGTCGTAGTATTTTTTGCTGGTATTTCAGTAAACATTGTTGGACGAAATTTTCTATTATTTGTGCTAAGATGACGAATTTAATACTCATACTATAAACGTTCTTAAAGAGATTCCATATATATATATATATATATATATATATATATATATATAACTTATTTAACAAAACTTAGAACTTATTTAACAGGTATAGATATAATATATATATATATATATATATATATATATATATATATATATATATATTAT